TATTCTATTCTATTCTATTCTATTCTATTCTATTCTATTCTATTCTAAGCATTCACTGGAGTTTATAGCAGAAGTATTTGCTAAACAAATCTATTGGGAAATCTCATGATAGCAGTGAGATTCTATCAGAGAACTGACAGTCCCTTTAAATATGACCATATCCTGAATATCCTCTTTATGCAAGAAAGTTGTATGTACACATGCACACCTAGACAGCTTCCTAAAGCAAGCTATATCCAGTTAAACTCAGAACAAGTTACATACATCCGCCTACCTTATCATTTAAAAAAGTTAAGCTTCAAAGAGTTTCAGTTCATTTTTCAACTTAAAATGCCCTGTATTTTTATGAAATGCAATATAAGCTGCTAACATATCAAAGGGAAAAAGAATTCTCAACAAGAGAGATCATGTCAGAATATTTCCAGAAGTACTGCAGAAGTTCCTCCTGCTCAACAAAATTCTCACCATGTGCAACCACTGAATATGGAAAAGATTAGTGTACAAGGTAGCAGCAAATGCATGGAAAGTTTCTACTTCATCAGTTTAGTCATCACAGCTTTAATGCAGTACCTTATAACACAGGTTGCCTGCATGGTCCTACTACAAACAGCTCACAGATTCATATTCAACTGTAGATACTTCTCAATTTGTATCTGAGCCTGCCCATGCAGCAACACATGTTCTAGATTTGTTATTCTGTTCAGTGGAATTGGCAATGTGGAAATGGAGGCAGTCTGTATTACTTTAACTGTCTTGGAGTAATCACCTTCTCATGAATAAAGGCAAATATGCATATCCCAGGATAACGCTGCAGGATCCAATCTTGGTTGGTCACTGGGGCCAGAGGTTTAGTCTTCTGAGTTTTCGGACTCATGCTGGAGCCCATCCTCTGGGAGCTTCTCTCTCACCACAATATGTCACACAAGTCCAAAAGCTGTGAAGACTAAAGCTGTGGTGCTGACCCAGATTGGATTCTGCAAAGTCACCTTCTGGACAACTTTATGTTGATTATTTATATGAAATCTGCAGGAGAGGGGGGAATCCATGAAAATGGTTGTCTCCAGAATTCAGAATATTTCTATCTATATTCCAAAAGTTTCTTTTTCTCCTTCCATTACATCTCCATGAAATAGGCCAGAAGTGCTTTTCCATGCTCATGTTTTCACCCCCTTTAGAGGGGCAATTGTTGGGTACCTGGGAAACAACCTTCTATGTAATTCCTAAGCAACTGATTGTGCTTCCTTAGATGTGCCCAGCTTCATTTCTGCTTTTAGAGGGTTAGCTGCCTAACAGCTCAATTAAACAAATAATATATGCATGATATATTGTTCACATTTAAAATACAGCTGGAAAATCCATGGTCTACGTATTTTTTGAATCTACCTTTCAGAGCCCCAGATTTTATGTTCCTGAGGTTTTGTTCCAAAAACACATACACATGCAGTACAAATCACTTAAATATTAAAAAAACAACCCAAATAATCTTGCACGTTCCAGATTTTAAACATTTTCAAACCACTTTTACTATAAATTATAATTAATGTTTGTCAGAAGAGGCACCCAGCTAAATATTCTTCACTTATAAATAACATTGGAATTATATTAAACCTTAGACATGAATTATTTCTGGATTTAAAGAAAAAGCTATTGAAGAACCACCTCCACATTACTGGAAAAACTATCTAGATACTGATGAAGTCTGAACTCCCTGCAGAGTCTCTGAGGGAGTCCCTTCAAATGTGTAACCAATACCACAAAGACATCTCAGATATGACTTTATAGACTGGTCTCTTACTTAAAGATACATCAAAGGTCAAGACCATGTGTTGGTTACATTTCTATTATTCCCACAGTGCAATGACGTGAAAAAATTCAATGGCCTGAGGTCAGAATAGTCCACTCATAAAATGATTTATGGCCCGGCAGCTCCATTCCTCAGGTCTATGGATTTTATTACAAAATAAACCTCAGAACAAGATACAATTTCCTGTCTCAGTGAACAGCTTTTACATAAGGACACCTGGACAGCCTTGCAATTATTTAAGTGAAATAATAGGTCTGAACTACACTTGTTGCTGGTGTTCGCATCCTATAGCTGCTAACTTTTAAAATACTCTACATAACCATCAAGTAGACTGGCAAACATTTAATACTAAATTAAGAATACTTATATGCTGGATCTATTAGCAAGACAGGACAGAAAATTTGCGACACAAAAAATTGTACTTTGGCTGCTAGTAACTTGACTTTTTAAAACTGCTTTAAAACTGTTAAATCAACACAAGAGAATATTCTTTTTCTTAAGATAAGCTCTTGATTGCTGTGCAGAACAAAAATCTATTTTCACAAGGACATACTTCACTATTCTCACATAAAGGACATAAATCAGTTACTCCAAATGTCTCTCTCTCTCTCTCTCTCTCTCTCTGTGTGTGTTTGTGTGCATGCATACACACGCTCATGTGTGTATGCAATAAACAGGGCTACATTTATTGTGGTGAATGCAATATGTAATAAATGTTACAATTTATTAGAAAGGGTTAGAGCTTTTCATTTCTTTTAATATATATGTGATTCCTATAAGCCTTAAATTATGTTAAAAACATTTAAATGGTTTGTTTATAAGGTTGTCAAGACCTCAGTTACGATGTAGCAGTATACATAAAGGAAAATATTTGGAATTTATATGGTAAATTGCTGATCAAAACTGGGGACAATTTAGAAAGCAGAAAATACTAATACAAATATTATGTCCCCAAAACTTCCTTGCAGCCCAAATCCTATCACAAGGTTCTTGTAGCCAGGACTGATGCATTCCTAGATAGCAATAATGAAAAATGAAACCCAACATTATGGACTGGGGTCATTTAAATGTATCAATATGTTTAATATATAATATTTATTTCAGCCTTCCATTAGTTTGAGTTGTGCCCATTTAGTAAAATCCAAAAACAAAAATTGTTTCCAGGAAACTGCAGTATATATGTATGTACAATTCTTTGGAAATTAGCATTAAAGAGTGAATTAATTTTCTCAATCTACCAAAAAGAAATAGTATATAGCAACACCAAGAACACATTAAGTTTGTTGTACCATGGCAGCCAAACTTTATTATAAGGACTCTAAGGGATCAATCTTAATACATTTCACATGGTGCCAGTGTTTCTAAGAAAGATAATTGCTTTTTCATCTGATTGCAGAAATATTCTCAAAGGACCAACAGAAATTTTTCTCTTTCCTGCAACTTCACAGGAGAAAGATGCATGCTTTAACAGAGATCATCCTGATTTTTTTTTCCTGGACACAGGTTAAGAGGTTAACTGAAAAACAGAGTAACATATTCTTGAAAAAAGAATTAAATTCTGGGGGGTCAATAAAGATGAACACCATGGCAAGAAAGATTTTTTTTAAGACAAAGAGGGAAAGTTTTAATCACTGAATTTTCCAATAGTGATTTCAAGAAACAGAACTAAAGTAAAATCAGACCGAGAAGTTTTAATTAGAAGTGCCATATTTCCTGTCAACCTGTGTGTGTGAGAGGGATGAGCTAATATTTACACAACCAGCAAGCTGAAGAGTGATTATTCCTGGTGTTCAGTGGCTCGTTGCACTGCTTTTGCATATTGGGATTGTTTTAGGTGTTATGACTAACAGTTTCTTCCAAATAATTGTGTAGAATAAATGCATGGTAAATGCTGGAACGCCCGGGTCACCTGAGCAAACAAATTGTTGCAAAGATTAATGACAGCTGTTGTGTACATAACCTCAGTTACATTTTTAACTTGGGAAATCAAGAACTTTCTTATGGAAATAAATTTGGTTCAACTGAGAGGGGCAGTTACCTGGTGGAGGGTAGGGTACCTCATATCACAGGCTTTACTACAGAGGCAGTCTGAGGTTACTCTCTGATAGTTCTAGTTCTTCTCCCAAAGTCTATAGGCAGCCATTGAGAGACACGGTTAATCAGACCAAGGACCATTTTTTGTCTCAAAGCCTGTTTGTACATCAACTTCAGTTACTATTCATAAGAGATCCCCTAAAGAGCTGTAAAATCTGCCTTCAGCCAGCTGCTGTAATTGCTGTCTGTCAAAACAGAACTGTTTTCTTACCAAACATTTCAAAGCGTCCAGAGTTTGGTTGATTAGTTTGAAGATGGGCGGGTGATGGGAAGGGTGAATGAGGGACAGAGTAAGACTGATGGCCTGTGGACACTGAACTTTTATTTAG